TTTTTTTTTCGGTCCGGTATCCTAGTCATTCGCGCGCTGTGATTGGCTATCTAGATCAAAAGAGACGACAAGGTAACTCGCCAGATGGCAAACCAGTGTCCAGGACAGGTAACCTAATTGCCCTACTTTTTAATCAACAAAGGCTTCTAGAAATATTCCTTTAAATTTTATCAAGATTCTCTAAGGTTCTTATTGAAATTGGCCTGAAGGCCAGCCAGAGCCAGGGTAAAATATTTAGAAGTTTAAAAACTTAAATCACAAGATGTTAAGTTTAACCCATAGAGCACCTACTGAGGTTTCTTTCAATGCGTTAAAAATGTCTAAAAGCCACCAAGCTACAATTGTTGCCAAAATTGTTGCAACCTTTAGACATTTATTGCGTTTCACGCTACGCAAGAACAAATGACTTCTTAACCCTCCTCCCCCCTCTCAGAGTGGCTGCCTCAACATACATCATTACTACAGCAACATTGATTTTAARGGGAGACGGGGATTATTGAAAATTTATAACAGGACAGAAACCTATGTTGAAGTCGTCTCGTTCCAAGTAATTTTTGGCAACGATCGTAGCTTGTTATGCAGTGAACCTATACCCAGGTTTACGTCCTTAACTTTTATACATACATAGAAGTCAAAAAAGGACAGAGTAATTTGAGAAACAACAAGAAGTCCAGCTACATAACCGTTAAGCACATATAACTCAAGATCACATTGACAATGCTCAACAACAATCATTGCAGGGGGTACCCAATTGTTTAGAGTCTAAATAGTTTCAAATACAGGTAATGGTTATTCATAAGACACCAAATGTTTCTAAAAKTTGCTTTGTGTGACCAGATCCTTGATGTTCTTGAATGAATAATAATCTTTTAACAGAACACAAGCAATCGAAGGAAGATATTTTAACTCTGTGCTGAAGGCTTTTGGATAGTAATAATGAGGCCTGAAATCCTTRCAGAATCAGTCCTTTTATAACTCTTTTCATTTTTCAAAACAATGTTTGTATTACATGGAACTGAAACACTTGACAATTGATATTCAATAACGACAAGTCTGTATCTCTTGAAAAGTTGCGTTTATGGAGAAAACTTACCTTAAATTTCCTTTCACAATACTTCAATGCTCTATAAAAAGCTCTGTATGCTTCATCATCAAGTGCTTAGAAGTGTTTTATCGTAGCGTCGCAATGGTCGCAAAGTGATATAGGTGGATCAATTTAATATATTTGATATGCGCATTGTTACGTTAGACTGTCGTTAATAGACACTGTGTTGTTGTGCTAACTTGTCCTTTAATATCACAATCGGACTAACACATACAAACAATGGTGAACTCTCCAACTACACAGGTATCCCGATACTGTAAATACCGTTACATCCCCCTTTTTTTTACAAATATGAAAACTATGAACAACAATAACAATACACAAAGGTTACTATCAAAAAGTCATTGTGTAACAAAGTCACTTAGGTATGTAGGCTTGCGAACAACTCGACCACTTCTCGTCTTGATGGATTCCTCAGTGGCTGTAGGAGTAATCACTGGGGCTTGTTGCTTGTTTCTGTCAGCAGATACTGGGACTGCTTTCGTAGGTATAACTTTTGGTTGAGGCTGCTGATTTCGAGGCAAATCTGGTAGAATACTGGGGTTGTAGTTCTCTGGGGTCTTGTGGAGATCCTTTCTATTACGTCGGAATACTCGTCCGTNTGTTACGTTAGACTGTCGTTAATAGACACTGTGTTGTTGTGCTAACTTGTCCTTTAATATCACAATCGGACTAACACATACAAACAATGGTGAACTCTCCAACTACACAGGTATCCCGATACTGTAAATACCGTTACACGCATGATGCTTTGTTATTCTTGTCATAAAGGACAGGCCGACCAATGCAAGGTTATGAATAATTGAAAGTTTTTTTCTTCTTTTAATGTAGACTGATTAATTTAATGTCTCTTTTAAAAGTGTCTCAGTGGCAACGATAGAGTAAACGTGCATAAACACATCCAAATGTGATGCGGGTGTGTGATTGGCAACCCTGAACGCGCAGTTACTTGACATTCATCTTTGATGCGAGGTAAACCATCAACGGACGAGCTCTTTTGATCCATCCTTCCCCTACTACTTGTATTGGTAGCTACCATTTTGTTGGCATGGGACCGCTTTCTCACTCAAATATTCTTACTTTAGTAATTAGTCGCATGGGAAAGCGTCTAGCTGTAGCTGTAGTCATAAACGTCTCAAGATCTTTGCATATTTTGAACAAAAGAAAGTGGAAAAGTCATTCTGGTAATTGTGTGTTTTGGATTTTGGGTATAAAATGTCAATGTCTTTGTCCGTCCAGTCGCGATTATGAAAAATTGWCTGGAATTTAATGCAAATTAGATGATATAATGAGTGAAAACACAAGATTGAAGTATTTTTTGTGGAATTTGGCATGCAGGTGAGTTTTCAAGGTTTGCCGCAGACAAATCGACATTATTAAAAACCTGTCAATGTTAACCTGTACCATGGAAGAACTTGTATTTACGCTTAATTGAAAAAATCATCATCATCGAAACTAACACCCAAAGGGATTTTAAATACTCAAAAAATTCGAATCATATTTGCCTGTTTACTGAAAAAAAGTTCTGGACAACCACTCCAGCTCAGGTACTTTGTCAGAAGGCAAGTTATTTCCAACGAAAAGAACGCAGGGGAAGATCACAGATAGCGTTTGAAATTAGGTCAAAAAATAGCACTAAGTGATCTTAGTAACACTAGACCCATCTCTCTTCAGTTTTCGTTATTACGTCCATGGAATTTCTAAATCGATGCGGATAAGATAAGACAAAAAATACCAAAAGAATGATGTTCAACATGAAAAAAATAGAACAAGTGGAAACTGCCAAGAGCAAGCATTGAATTTTKCTATCTTTACTTCCTAAGCCTTTTCTTGCGTTAATTGTAGACACGTATTATTCTAATTTCCGCKGAAATTGTTAGAATAATAAATTTTTGCTCGTAACCAATGCAACATGTGAAGAGTAAAAACGAAACTACTAGTTATCTTGACTTTATTGTTATTTMTTTAGTCTTATTTATGGTTTCTTAYTATTTCGAAATTTTTAAATCTGTTTTTCAATCTGTTTCAGAAGGTATTTTAGCAGCGTTTAGGCCCGTTTCATACTTCGCGCTATATTAGTATATTCGTAGYGCCGCACCCCACCAAGTAGCCAATCTCATGTCCCCGTAAAGTCGCTTTTCGTGAGGCGTTAACTTTTTAGTTGATCCAAAACATAATCGAAAGCATATTTGACCAAATTCCAATAACAGGCCATTGCATCTACTGTTATTGTTGAACAAATGATACAATTACGGCACGGCTGACTTTGGCATGCAACTGCATTGGAACTGCTAGGCCAAATTCAATTCAAACATTTGACTTTTAGATTGAGATTTTTAGATTTTTAGACGATAATGAGGGTTAGACCATTAGAAAACCCTTAAGGTGGGTRAACAGAAAACGCTTTGTGTAGGATTTGTTTTTCACTGGACTATTGTCTATAGAATGTTCGGAGATCTGCAAGATAATTTAATGGTGCTAGGCATATCAAACAATTGCCTAACATTTGCGCGGGCTACCTGTGTCTTTTGTGGGATTCCTTATTTTCAAGGAGGGGACTAGGACAAAATTATAAGTTTTAGCCATTTTAAAGCACTAAAAGGTGGAAAAAACTTGAAAAAAACTTTCTAACGTACTTCCTTATAAGGTAAGATTACCATATATGGTCAGCAAAAGTTTGGCAAACGAATGAATTTTTCTCTGAGGCAATTGTTTGATATGCGGATTTTCTTTGGGCTGACGTTCTATTATTCCAGGGACAGGTCTATTTTTCTATTTTGGTAAATGTCAAAACAAGCCTCCCCTCTCTCCCTCTCTCCAAACCGGATGTTTTTTAATTATTTGCCCCTTATGAGCAGTCATGCACGCCCTTCAAATATTTTAAAACTCATCGCCAAAATGGATTCTCTGAAAGAATTWCTTATCCCAAAACGATTCAGCGTGTATGGATACATCGTTGCTGTATTCACTGTACTAGCTGGAGGGATTACTACCTTTRTAACCGGAATTAAAGCATCTGAAATAGAGCAATTTCAATGTGACAGCCATGGTATTCCAGCGGACAAGGRCTTTTTGACTACGAAGTGTTTCAATCAATACAGACAAGTACACAATGCCTCTCTGCCGCTTTATGGATTTGTATTTATAACGTTTGCTAGTTTAGTTCTAATTTGTATTATCTATTCTTGGTGTTGTGTGAAATCTAGAGTGGAACAAATCCAACAGGAATGTTTAGAAAATCAAGACAACCCTCGACCTGCTACAGTCAGAACTCGCCTAATTTTCATGTCATATTTGCTCCAGCTACTAGTACGCTTTGGATTTGGTGTTTTCTTTGCACTATTACAGTTAACAGGACTTTACGCTTCAAATTTTCCACCGCAGTTTCAGTGCAAATCGAATTCAAAAGGAACAAATTTTAACGCATCGTCATCTATCATAACCTGTCAGAACTCATTTGCCGAAGAAAAAACACTTTGGGCAAAGGTCATTTGGATTTTGCACATAGTCTTTGCATGTCTTGTATTATTTGAAGTGTTTTATCTTTTGACAAGAGCTTGCCATGACAAGGGTTTCATGAGAGACTCGGAATTTTGCCAAAGTCACCTTTACAACAATAGAAGAGTTTCTTTATCACAAAGGGACTTCAGTCTATTAATGTCGGGAATATTGGAGCAGACAAAGTATCTCGAACTCCTAATGCCTGAAGATCCATCTGAAGATGACAATAGGAGAGCAATAGACGATGTTTATGTGGAACTTGTTATACTTTCTGGTCGAGTCACTCATGACTTCGACATGGCTAAGAAAAGACACGAACTCTTGAACGTTTATCTCAAACCACCTACAGCTTCGGTTCAAATAAATAACATCAGAGAGCTTTTTGTTTCTGAAACACAACCTTATCGTAATATTCTTATTATTGGCCGACCTGGAATCGGGAAAACTTCTCTTTGTACTAAAATCATTCGCGATTGGTGCAAAGACAAAATGAATCAATTCAAGTTTGTTTTCCTCTTTAGGTTTCGCCATTTGAATTCAGAGCGATTTGACAAAATATCGCTCATGCGATTTCTCAATGAAGCAGARCACTCCATGAATATAGACTYAGCTACGTTACAAAATATTACTGACGAAACTCAATCTATTTTGTTTATCTTTGATGGCTTCGATGAGTTTAAGCATCGTAAGAACTTAATGAAAGACCAATCAGAATTCAGCGGCTTAAATGGATTGAGCGATGAAATGCCTGTAACCGCTCTTTATTCGAAGCTTCTGCAGAAGAAGCTACTCCCGGGTGCCACAATCTTGACAACTTCCAGACCAAATGCTGTGGACACTCTGAAAACCCTAAAGGTACAATTTGACAGAGTAGCTGAAATTTTGGGTTTTACTCCAGAAAAAGTTAGATCATATGTTCACAAATTTTGCAATAACAATGAAGATACAGCAAGAAAGATTTGGCAACACATAGAAAGCAATGTCAATCTTTTGTATCTGTGTTACATTCCCGTAACTTGTTGGATTGTCTGTTCTTTGTTGCATAATTTCATTGAAAAACATAACAGTATGGATACATTGGCTCTACCCACCACCCTTTCTGATATTTACAAAGGAGCATTAAGGCTATTTTTGTTTAACCACAATCCAGAATATCAACAGCAAGCTTCTTTTAATGATTACACGAATGATACATTTTCGAGTACAATTGAGGAAGCACTGTCAAAACTAGGAAAACTAGCAAGAAAAGGTATTGAGGAGAAACGACTGGTCTTTGAAGAAGAAGAGGTTCAAGGATTGGAAAACTGTGGTTTACTCAACTGTATGCCAAGTAACGAAAATCCTGCATTTGGATTTGCACGGGCTTCACAATATTGTTTTATTCATTTGACTCTTCAAGAGTTTCTTGCTGCCAGAGAAATTGCAAAGGTAGATGACCTCAATGAAGTGTTTCAGTTAACAAAGAATAAAGCAGCTGATGCCAACTGGCATCTTGTCTTACAGTTTATTGCAGGATTACTGCAAAAACACGCTTTTGAAGTTTCAAAGTTTTTCGAAGGGATTCTTTGCCATGCTTTGACCGAGACATATGACCGACAATTAAGTTTACTAATGCTCAAATGTATTTACGAACTAAACAATGAAGAAGCTGCTGTGAGAACTGCTGCAAAACTGGAATCTTGTAAGGAATTCGGCGGTTCCATAGATTTTCATGAAATGGATGTGACACCCCCTGATTGCACAGCAATTGTGTATGTTTTGAGGCATTGTGTGACTCATCTAGAATCACTTGACATTTCTCATAATAATTTTGGTGATCAAGGTTGCTCAGAACTTATTAAGATTTTTACCAGAGACGCAAGTAATGCAAGCAGGAATTATTCATCTCAAGACTGTCATCTTAACAAGATGGACTTGACCGGGAACAAAATAACTGATCAAGGTGTGTTGCAGCTCTGTGATGCACTCAAACGCCACAATTGCCATCTCACCCAGTTGGGCTTGTCCTCGAATGAAATAASCGACAAAGGCTTATTACAACTGAGTGTTGCATTCAAAAGTGAAAACTGCCACATCACCCATTTGGACCTGCTCAATAACGACATAAGCGATCAAGGCGTATTATACTTAAGCGATGCACTCGAAAGTGAAAACTGTCATCTCACTCATCTGAACTTGCTCAGTAATCAAATAACAGATCGAGGTGTCTTTCACATATGTCAAGCACTTAAAAGTGACAACTGTCTTCTAAGTCGGCTGGACGTCTTCCTAATTGAAGTCACTGACCAAGGTATCCTCCTCCTTAGTGATGCAATCCAATGCGAGAACTGTCATCTCACCCAGTTGACCTTGATCTATAATAAAATATCAGATCAAGGTGTATTSCACCTCAGTAAAGCACTCAAATCTGAAAATTGTCACCTCACCAATTTGAACTTATCCAGTAATAGCATAACTGATCAAGGTCTACTGCACTTGAGTGATGCACTCAAATGTAAAAACTGTCATCTCACGATGATGACTTTGTCTTACAATAAAATAACTGATCAAGGTGTAGCACACTTGAGTGATGCACTCAAAAATGAAAACTGCCATCTCATCCAGTTGGACCTGTCTTTTAATGAAGTARCAGATCAAGGTTTATTGCAATTGAGCGATGCACTCAAATGTGAAATGTGTGATCTCACCGACTTGAACTTGATGGATAATCAACTTACTGATCAATGTGTATTTTATTTGGAGGATGCACTCAAGTCTAGTACCTGTCACCTGAGGCAATTTAATTTGTCCAGGAACCAATTGACTGATGAAGGAGTGGCACTTCTAAAGGCTGCAACCGAGTGTAAAGACTGCCTACTAATCACTTAGCACTCAGTGCAAAAGTAAAATGGAACTCTACACTCTGAAGTCTCTACAGCTTGTACAGTACTACTATATCTGAAAACACATAAATGGTGCTTTTAAAGCTAAGCCTTAATAATCGATAAAAAATTGGTCATGAATCATATTGAATTAGTATTATTAAATTAAAGATTTATAAATTTTTAATTAAAATCAGCGAAAATTCTAGTCAGGACTTTTTGAGTTAAATGTTAAGTCAAGTATGAAGCTATCTTTGCTAGGTGAATTTACTAAAAATGTCATTCCAGTGGAAGCAGTATATTTTGTATTTTCGGCATAATTAGTTGAATTTGTAAGGCAAGACTTACGATAAATAAATATGAATATTTTCATCCTGACTAGCTTAAAGTTAACCATGCCTCTCTGCATGGAAACGAGACGAACAATTTTAATTTTAATTTAATTAATTCAGAGCGATTNCTATTTTCGAAAATTTAATTTTGTTTAATGATTAAAGCCCGTTGTATTTTCCTATAATGTAATTCATTAACAGTTATGTTTACCGCAAAATGAAAGACCACAATATTAATTAATACAAGGGCCAAAAACGCTCCGCCGCCCCTGCTAAGCACTAGTGACATACAAAAGTTTTTTTACTTTAATATTCACATGTGAAACGTGAAAACCTCCCGGCAGTAAATGTCAGTTCTTTTTGTTACTTTTGAGAGGATTATCGCTTCCATATACAAACAAGTATTAGGGGGGRAAAGGGAAAATACGTAAAAAAAACAAATTTATTCGGAAAACGTACAATTTCCATCGTTAAACAAAGAATTGTCAGAATTTTGTGATTCATCAAKAATTATTTCTGATTAGAGACATTTAATGTAATTTTAATTTTTWGTTGTCTTATATGTTTATGCATGTATATTTTTCCGTGAATTGAGGAAAGTATTTTCCAAAATAAGTTGGTAGATCTGGTCTGACTCTTCGTTCGTTTAATGAAGGTTCCCGGATTAATCATTTCTCCGAAACCTTTACCACAAAACTGTTAGAAGTCGACCAGAGRCAGCTTAATTTATGATTTGACCATTGAATCTTGGCTGTAATTTTAGTTGCGTTTTATTCATTGATGGAAATACAAAAACGTTTTGTTTTGTTTTGTTTTGTTAGAGCCATACAAAAATTGAAAGTAAAGTTATGTGGCCAAGGCACCGCATTGGGGATTGAATTAAAAAAGAAAAAATAGGTGTTGTGAAAATAAGATATATTTCGTGAATACTTACAGTTTGAAATCTATTTTTATTCAATATTTTTTTACGCTTTAAACTTGGATTTTTAAGCCGTTTCTATTGCCGTAGAAAGTTTAGTCCCATTGATCGAAAATAATCGAATTCTTTGGCTAGACAGTTAAGTACAAAAAAACAATAAAGCAACGTGATGTTTTTGCTGTGTTTTATTCTCCATTTTGTGTTTATGTTTCAATTTAATTATTCCGTTTTACCTGTATTATTTTCTTCATATCACATAATTTATTTATCAATAAGGCGACTATATTGGGTAAAATGATGTTTAATCGGAACTTTACTCCAGAAAATGTACATTCAATTCAGATTCAACAAGGCAATATTGATTACTGAAACATATGTCTTTTATTTCGACCAATCACAAACAATCTACTTGTGAATTCAAAACCTTTACTTCCTTACATTATCAACGTTTGAGGCGTTTTCAATGTTTTGGTAACCACGTATTGAATATCCTACCGATTCTAGCAAAAAGACACTCATTCTTACATCTAAAGTCTTAACTATAAGTTAGTAGTTTATTACTGAGTTCATTTTGCAAGATTCGCGTAGGTACGATTAAATGAACAGGATTTAGAAAAGAAATCGCAAGGAGACGAGGTTTTGAATTGGAAAGCTAGTCTGACAGCAGCTGGTCTTGCCTCGAAAAGAATCAGCTCTTTGTTTAGAAATGGCTTCCAGGTAAGGTGTACCTTTAATGTCGAATGCTTTTAACGTTGCAACTTCTTTCYTGATTTTTATTCCAAAAAGTGAAGTGATAGAACRTTTAAAACATATTGTATGAATGTTGACACTTAGACGAAAAACAAAACCAGTCAAAAATGGCGGTTTTATGAGCAGCCATCCATGCTTGGCTGTCACTTCATCATGATTAAATTCAATATGAGTTGATGCTCTATGTTACCTTTATAACAAGAAAATTGATATAAAAATCTAGTATATGGTGGCTTTAAATGAATAAWATGGTTTTGAACAAGCGTTCTATAGTTTGTTTTGTTTCGACTRCATGGCAAACTGATAAATCAAAAACTGCAAAATGATAAAAAAAACTCACTCAATCATTCGTMGGWGAAAAMGAAAAATAATTCAGTTTGCTTGGTTACTGATATTGCCGGCATTTTGAGCTGTCTTTTTTATATATTGGGTTGTTATGAATCGCCCATGTTTTTTTATAACGTTGTTAGGGCTGATTCATGTCTTACATGTAAATGGCCTTTAGTGAATTTCATTTAAAATATACATGTACAAAAGCAATGTTGTGCATAGAATAGTAACTAAAAAACACCCCGTCTTTGGCTTAAGGCCCACTATATCCAACTCAATTTACAAGATTCGTTGAATTATACCCAGTGACCAGTAGTCTGAGCGAGAATTAAAACAAAAGGCGCCTTATCCAACTCAATTTACAATAACCATTTGACTTATACCCAGTCGTCCAGTAGTCTGAGCGAGAATTAAAACTAAATATAAGTACAGCATAACAAAGAAAATATACGTAATCATTATAATAATTGAAAAACAATGATAAAGTGGCGGAAAACACAAAAACATTAAAAATAGATGGAGTAAGTAATTTTAGTATGAGTAATTTTACTAGAAATTAACAGAAACAAAGAAAATGTTGTTATTCTTTTATGATATAATTTTGAATCGCTGATTGATAGCATGATTTTTCAGATCAGTGCACTTGTAAGTAAGTCATGTGAAACGTGATATTTCATTTGTGTCAGTTTTTCCGACAATACGAAAACGTTGAAGGACATGGCATCATTCCAAAATGATCAACTGCTGCCTCTCTGTAAATCCTGATTTCCGCGCCATATTCAAATATTTTACACACAGTCAATTGCAGAAATTTGAACTTTTTTTCTTCCCGTTGATTTATTGCCCTAGTTCATATTGACGTCAAATCAAAACACTATTGTTTTTATGCTAATGATTAGGATCGCCTGAGGGGATCAGAGTGACCGACTACATATCAAAAAAGATGTCACATGGGAAATCAGTTATATATGATGTATAGAGGATATGCATTTAACATTGTTTACTTAACTAGCGTATAGTTAAGAGGGGTAAATGCCCAGGGGATTTATGGATCAGTGGTTAGATTCTAATATAAATAGATAGGATTGCACTATTTCCCATTCGCCTCCTACGTTCTCTAGCTTCGAGCCAAAAAAAATTGTGTTTTTTTCCTTTTACTTACTCTAATTATATATATTATACATATTTATGTAGTCTGACATGTGTWAAACTTAGTATAGTCTTTCGTAAGCAGTATGGGTCTTTCTCACGTGCCCTTTTCATGGCGCAGCATTTATCATTCAATGTACTCAWTGTATACCGAAATTCCAATAATGCACKCACGCGCTGCCGTGTGGACACTTCCCTAAAGTCTGTTTAGTATTAAATGGTAAATGATTTATTTTCGTTTRAGCGGGAGAGCGAGTTAGAATATAAATGACGTGGTCGCGCGGAGATACGTATTTTATYTTGGAGTGTTAAAAAKATCTCCCACKAGTGRGCTTAGCAAAGAGAAGAGAATTGAGCATAGAAATKAAATTACCCATGATACACCCRACAAAATTATAATTATTAACGGCGAGAATGTTTGTAAATCAAGTTTTCATGCCTTTCAACACCTAGCAAGAGTCCAAGCTATATTTTTACAGYTAAAACATCTAAACTCTCCCATGGTATCTGCTATAGCAYTATTCCAGTTTTCGACCTATTAGTAAATTAGTTGAGTGCATATAAAAAATCAGAGAAACCAGGATGTTTTCTGTATTCTACGAAACTAGATCAAGTAAAATTTATTGAAATTTAGCCAAGTCTTTCTTGAGCTTATTATGCTTTTGAGACTATGGTTTACCTCAGTATCAGGTTCGTATTTAGATGAGGTCCATGTGGTCCTCTTTTAAAGCCAAATCTGACACTTATGACACAGTATGAAGATTCGTTTAGATTAACTTATTCGGTTACGAAAATTAGTTTTCTCGTTTCTCCTTGATTCTCTTGAGTTTAAAACAATAGATAGTATGGAATATGTATAACCTTTTAATGAAAYATCCGTATGCCTATATGACAACAGAGACGCTGAAACAGCCGAGGATGGGAAACGGTCAACATTTCATGATGCTGGTAGACGACGAGATACCCGGGAGTGGATGCGAGGATGCTGTGGGTAAGATTTTTATAATTTCCGCTAATAAAACAATTGATGGAATGCCGTTATTATTGGTGTACTCAAAATGCTCGTCTGTGATTGGCTGGTTCAGTAATGATTCATTAATTAATTCCCAAATTATCCAATTTCTTATTCTAATATTCTCTAAAGATTAGTATAAAGAATAGAGGGATCAAATGGCAAATGATTTAAAAAATTRACTCATTTTCTTYAATTTCATTCAAGGGTTTTACAGCGTCAATTTGGAGAAATGCTGACAGGAGTCACGTGGCAAATGACCATAATCTTATTGGTTCTCATTGAAGTGGTCATTAACATAATTCTACTTTTAATCAGTTTCCACGTCATAAAAGGTAATTATTCTCTATTAATGAACGTTTCAGAATGTCAAAGCGTCTCGCCGTGCTTAGATCACTCTCTTTGTGAAACCGGAACGGCTTAGCTTTGAGAGACGAGATGTTACTTGGCTACTATCTACCCCAAGACTACTTATTGACCATTTACATGATTGCAAACATTTTTAAGGCTCACAATCGTTGACAGTTGTTGATTCGAATGAGCATAAAAATAATGACAATATTTAGTCTAAAGTTATTCATGGCGACTGAGTTTCAGCGCGTCTCCCTGAAATTGACCAAATCGGCGATACGTTGGCCACTGCGCACGTTTTACCACAATTTAGGAGGAGCTATTCTTCTCAATAAGCAGATCATATTATACGATATATTCTATGTTGACAATGGGGTATTTCAGAACGTCAAAGCGTCTGGCCGTGTTTAGATCAGTCTCTAATCTCTTACATGGAATTTTTTCGAAACTGGAACGGCTTTGAGAGACCATGAGTACTGTGGCCACCCCACTWATTAACCAATCAGATAATTGCAGACATTATTAAGGCTCACAATCCTTGACAGTTGTTGATTCGAATAAGCATAAAAAGTAATGATAATGTTGAGTTAATGTTACAGTGAGCGACTGAGGTTCAGTGCGTCTACCTCAAATTGACCAAATATCGGCTATACGTTGACCATGATTGCGTGCTTTTTATCATTATGCTATACAATTTTTATGCTGGGAATGTGATACTGAAATGAACGAAAAACTGTTGTACAGGGGTTTTTTGTCTCTTTTTTGTTGTTGTTATGATTGTTGTTGTTGTTTTTTGCTACACAATTTTGAGGCCGCTTATATCGATCCTTCAACCCCTCGAAAGCGTGTTGTTAGGGAAATTTGTAGTTTCCTGGTAAATATTGTTATTTCTTAGAGTTTTATAATCTTGCTGGCAACCACTTGTTACTTTCATCATAAGAACAGATATATGTTTACCAAGAACCCGTTGACCACTCATGACAATTAACAATCATTTTCTCTTGCAATTAATTATTCARAGTGGTAGGCTAACGTGAATATTTCTCTTTTGCGTTTTCTTTCTCATTTCAGATTCTGAAGACCATTTCGCGTCTAACATCCTCCACTTTGTAGCAATATCGATTCTATCACTCTTCGTTCTCGAGGTAAGAYCACAGGCAGCCCAACCATGAATTTTAGCTCACTAAAAAAGACGGTGTTTAACGACGACTCTATGTATGACATACTGTTATTATAGTGATAATAAAATATTCAAACACATTTTTTATTACGTAGAGCACTAAATTCTAGAACTGCGAGCGACAAAAGTTMATTATCAGATCAGAAGACCGAAACGTCTGAATAGAATTTATACAATAAACAATAACAATGAACTTTCATAATACATTATTTTCATCTCAGATAGCTCTCAAGCTGTTCGCGCTGGGATTCAGATTTTTTTTGACAGAGAAGTGGGAGGTATGTGATGAATTACTAATTCATAAATTAGTTATACATTGCCGAATGTTTTTTCTATTATTGTTATTAAAAGCACGAGATATTGTTGTAAGTACAATAGCGCTACATTTTCCCCAAGTAGAGGCTAACGCTGTATTCTTAGAAGTATCTACGGTTTAAAAACCTTAGGTTTTATGGAAAGACAGGGTAGTCTCAGTTGCCGGAAATGTAAATTTTCAAGTCTATTTGTAATAACGACATTTTCTTGTTCTCTATTTTKWGTTTGTTTATGTCTTTGCGAAGGAGAATCTGGAGCTAAATAAAGCTTTAATTTTAATTCCAAAATGGAGTATTYCTCAAAAGTGAAAAWRATTACGCCAAAAGTACGCATGAGCGTGTATTTACGTCCACATGCTAATGTCGGAAAGCTATCCGATATTTTTTATTTCAACAATAGACCGCTGAAGCTTCGCGTTATGTGTGCCGTATACGCAATGCATTGTCGGATATGTTTGGGACAAAACGTATGTCGGATATATTTTGTTTTCGCCAGAAACTGATCCTGCAATGSAGTGCAAATCAAGTTCGGGTGACTTAAAAGCTTGGACCGGGTTATTCAAAGTTCGATTAGTGTTAATCCAGGGTTTGCAGGGGCGGACCCACCCATTTTGAAAAAAAAAGGCGGGAAATTTTCGCGGGGATTTCCTCTGCTTCTTCAACTCGAAAGTRAAAATGATAAATAAATGGAAAATTTTTTTATGACAGTTATTATATTTTTCGATGTTTTCTTGTTGCCTTTTATTACATTTCCATTTTTTTATTTTTGTTCATCATCATCATCATATTCCCCTTTATAGAGAATTGTCTCCTAGGGGTGCGTTCATTACGAATCGCTTAAAGTTCTCTATATCCATTATCAAGCGTCTTATCTGCTGCGCGTCCATGCCAAACAGTCTTTCTAGTCTTGTCCACTTTGGCGACCGTTCATCAAATAACATGACTGCTTTCTGATGTCTGCATTGTCCTTCCTGCAGATGTGTGAAATGTATTTCAATTGATGAGAAAAACAGACGGATTTGATTGTTCCTCTCACTAAATCCGCACTTGGTTAGTTCTATAGGATTTTTAAGAGTTAGCCCATGCAGGATAAGCGCTAATCGAGCTTTATGCAACTTTGCCTAGAAGTCTGTTATATCGATTAAATACATTTATAATCATCAGGTGATGTTAAAGTCATCTAACATGAATGGATGRATTTTAATTTTAATGCGTTAAAACACACTGAAAGTTCCGAGTGAATGAAAAACAAATTAGTAAGACTTCTCGATATAGATTGTTGTTCTTTGTTATAATGTATGCTTCGTTTCTCTTCTAGCTATTTGACGCCACCATTGTTCTAGTTGCTTTTACCACGGAGATTATTCTAAGGTAATTGATCGTTTTCAACCATTCCCATGAGATTCAAAAGATAAAAGAAATGCGGCCATGTTGGAGGAATGAACAATAGATACTAATGAGAAATCCTTTGCTAAAGTTCCTCCAAGATGGCCGCTGTGACGTAAACTGAAACCGAAGAATACATCTACTGTATAAAACAAATTGAGGATCACACAAAATTTTGTCTCTTTCTGGAATCCGGACACTTGGACACTTCGAATCCGGAATGCGCATTGTAATGGAGCAAATCGGGCAAAACATAGTTTGTAGAGGGAAATGGTTAGGGAGCCTTTTGTTGTAGGTTTTTGCGCACTTATTCCAAGCGTGACCGTGCACAATCTTTTGTTTAACTATTGTTTTAGCCATACTGGTCACATCTGAATGAACAAAGCGRAAATTATTCTTTTGACCATTTCTTCAAAATGCACAAAAAAATTTTAACCTATATTGAAATATTTCATTTCATAATCTCATAGAGGGTGTTTATGTTTATGATTTTGCAATTTCTATCGTCCTTAAGGAAAGCGTGGTGCACAGTCTTGACTGATTCAACCAAATACATACAAAAGATGTACAAAACTGAGAATTTGAACAAAATTTTTCCAAATCATTCCCCTCTATAGACCTTTGAAGCTCTTACGTCAGGTACCTTATACGCAATGCATTGTGGGATATGATTCGGACAGAACATGGCGAATTTCTTTTGTTTTTTTTTTCCAAAATCTGATCCGACAATACATTGAAAATCAAGTAGTGACGTATTTAAGGTTCAGACGTCTATTAACTATGTTAACTATGAGCAAAATAATAGGAATCCGTAATGAAAATTAGTGAAACTCGTCACTGACGAGGAAGTTGCAAAGGCTTCCATAACTTGCTGTATATTTACCTTTGGCCCTCAAAAAGACTTCAAAAATATAGTCAGTCTACTTTTTACTTTATTCTTTTAGTAGTTTTTGATGTTTGTATATTTTGCAGGGTAATGCATGCTGAAACCTGGAGAGGTTTGGAACTGACAATYGCACTTAGATTATGGAGAGTGCTAAGACTTGTTTCAGGTAGCTCACGTGACGTTATTTTTAATTTATTCATATAACAGACAACTCCTTATATTTAGTGACTTCATATCAAAGTCATTCCCTGTAAACTTGAACATTTGCTCTAATTAGCGTCCAGACTGCCGCGGACGAAAAAAGTTATACTGCGCAGTCATGCAGTAAAGGAGTACGGACAGGTTGTTTTCCCCAAGGTGGAAACAAGAGTTCAAAACGTCTTGTGCATGTCCGCGACAGTTGATTCAGAAAAACGAATTTTTAACCCCCTTATAATTTATACTTTTTCAAAATTAATACGATTTTTCTAAAGCTTTAATATTCCTTTTTATAAATCCGACGGTAATAATCGACATTTTAGAGCCGACTCTGAACAAATGAGCAAAAACGTACAAATCGGGTGCGATTTATAGTCAGGCATTGTTGGGGGAGTGATCGCCGGAAGTTGATACAAGATTTTGTATGCAATGACTTTCATATGTATAGCTTAAATCAGGTGCGCAGCGTGGCCTTTTTACGTGAAAACATTCGTAGCATTTTGACTTTAGTTCCTTAGACGTTTTCCGTCAACTCACGGACTGGCTTGCAAATCTACAATATATGGATCAGGAGTTTCGGAGAACAATGCGTCCGTCATCTTGAAAAGTGAGACCCGAATCACTATGTTGTGCCTTAGAACACATTTCGTAGTTGCTAAGTCAACTAATCTATCATTATATCGTATTATATTAACTTGATATTAGCTGAGAACCTAAGATTTCTTTATAGGATCCGATTCCCACTTTTCAAGATGGCGGACTCACCTTCAGGGGGTCAGGATGGACAGTAACCTTTGACATTTGCGTACATTGTTCTCCGAAACTCCTGATGCATGTATCAAACCGAGCAACGACATCGTTGTTTTGGTCGTTGTTGTTTATTATCATTCTTTYGGTGAATGTCCCAAATTCGAAAAATTTCTTCGTGACATACTTATATGAAGGAGGCTGGTACGGGCTGATTTTCGTTCGTTTTATGTCCCCTAACAAAAGAAATCAACCMGTTGAACCAAGTCAGCCCGCTCCATATAGTCACTYACGATTATCAGGAAGACCAAAAAATAGAGTCTGTTTTCTTCGAAGTAGCCTGCGAAGTAGGCTAGACATTTGTATATTATTTCGTTTTTTTTTTCTGATAATCAACTACCGGTAGTTGTCGTCTACTCTTTCAAGCAATACAAACCAAGAAAGTTTGTTAGAATTGGTGTTAATTCTTCGTTATGTCACTGCGGCCAACTTGGGGGAACTTTACTAACAAAGGATTTCTCCTTAGTWTCTATTGTTCMTTCCTCCAACATGGCCGCCGGTCTTTTATCTTGTGAATCTCATGGGAATGGGTGAAAACGATCAATATAATTCCAGTTTAACTGGACAGTGGTATTATTAAACCTTACCAAATATAATAAACAATTCTTGGTGTGCAGCCACATGACCAGGAATGCCATGAGAAAAAAAAGAAACAAAGCTATCGCCGCCATGTTGGATGAAACAAGAGAAACTAATGAGGAATGATTTGTGATTTTCATCCAACATGGCGGCGATGACGTAACTTGCACGCCAAGAATGCAAACCGTTTACTGCTCTGATCACAAATCTATTCCTTCTTCTAGTGATGATATCATTCAAAGAAGAGTTCTACGAGCTGATAGACGACGAAATCGATGGCAAACGCAAGAATGAGCCAAAAACCGAAACATCTGAAGTAGAATCTCTCCGAGATAAACACCAAGAAAACTGAAAACAAGTCCAGTATTCAGGATGTATCGTCTATAATTTAATAACGCAGTTCGCACGTGCGTAGTCGTGCGAGATATGTTGGGGAATATTGTTTTCATATATCATTGTGTTCACAAACATAATAAATCCATCTTAACAATGATAATAAAAAGGTCTAAAAATAAAATAACAGTTATGTCGTTTTCTCCGTTGTTTTTTGCATTTGAAAATTAAACATATTTTAAAAATAACTGACTGGATGCTTGCGGACAATGATCAATTTTTCAGTGGTAATGGTTGGGAACGAGGAGGGTCACGATATTTTGCCCGTCTAATATCAGTAGGATTAGAAGATTTCACTTCCCCACTATGGTTGATCACCATATTTCCAGTACCCACTTTTCAATTTCCACCTCCCCTCCCCCTGCTAATTTTTTGACAAGACCCTTATTTCGGTCTCTTTTCCATTTCACTTGTGCTATCAATTGAAATTACAGTTGTTCCGACGAACATTCACAAAAAAACGTCTGCCTGACGTTTAGTACTGAAACTAAACGTCAAGCAGTCAAAAATCTCAAAGTGCCGTGCTTGTGATCGGGGCTTGTTACTATACAAACTTGTCGAATAGTATTATTTTGGTCTTTAGGTCATTCCCTTGTTGTATTAATTGAAATTTAAATAAAATTAATGGAGATTTAAAAAAAATCGACTGCCTAAACGTCAGGCAGTCGAAAAATTTCAAAATGCCGTGCTTGTGTTTGAAACTTGTCGAACAGTATTATTTCGGTCTTTATTGCATTTCCCTTGTTGTATTAATTGAAATTAAGGTTGTTCCGACGATTTTTTTAAGAAAAAATTCGACTGCCTGACTTTTAGACCCTCCGTATTTTTTTAGTGTTTTAGAGAATTCAAACTGTCTTTTAACATGGTTTGAATTTCTAAATTAAATTTGATTGTGCAGAGCTGAACAATACCTATTCATGCATGTGTGTTCATTAGGCCTAGTGTCCATATAATCCAGCTTCGACGATCTTTGATTTTCCGTTGAAAACTAAGAAGGATCTCGGTACGAGAATGCTCCAAACTTGTTGTCAAGTCCCACGAGGAAAAAAGGACAGTAAGAAAAGGTAATTGTGACGATTAAAAGATCCCATGCTGCGATGTGATAAAGTCAATTTTTCTCTAAATTAATAATTCCTACGTCAGTGAATTAAACTGCAAAAGAAGTAACATTAATGCGGTGTTTAAATGGTTAAAANAAATGCTCACATTTATTTGTAATGCTTTCAGTGTAATCTCGGAGTGTTCTTTGGTTTGTAATGAGTCTTTTATAAATTCATCATCATCATCATTCCTGTTACGCCTAGGTGGCATGTAGGGCCGCTACTAAGAATTTCTCGGAGTGTTCTTTGGTTTGTAATGAGTCTTTTATAAATTACCTGAATTTAATGGCTCACTTTACCGAAATTTTAAAAGTAATGATTCAATACCAGCGTTTTGTAAGATGAGCTAACTTCAACCACAATTCAATAATGGAATTTATCAGTTGTTGGATATCAGCACATCCGATCACCAGTTTCCTCAAGCGAGAGGAACAATGGAGAAACACGATTGGGACGATGTGGACACACTAGGCTTTAATTAAAAGGAAATTGACTGACTGTTTCGCTCGCATTCATTTGAAAGAAAATGATTTTCACTTAATGCTAAACTAAAAAGTGCATAGTAAAAAAGACGCATGGTTTTTATGACATTCTTTACGCCACAAAATGTAAAATGTTCAAGGAGGAAAAAAATGATTGAGTTTGAAAAAAATACGTTAGGAGTGAAGTGTGTTGAGAAGTCCAGAAAAAAAGAAAAACCGCATGCAATTTGCTAAATATCGGAAAAATAATCGCGATCTTCAATATTTTCGCGCAACTATTTTCTTGCTGTCCATGTGTATATTAGAAGGGTGTGCGTACCACTCGCCTGTGCATCCTTTGTGTTTTGTTTAAATCTGATCTAAAATGAACTCGACATTTAACCATTTTATTTTTAGAATGATGCCCATTAAATTAATTATCAATAATTCATCTTCACTCACCAAAGTATTGTTAAAAACAGTCTTATCAACCAAATGAGCAGAATAAAGTAATGGATACCGGAATTACATTTCATCTCTTGTTTTACAATCGTTGAATACCTCTGTAAAAGTTTAGTTC